CCCTTTGCCCGCCAAACTTTTCAGGAGCGACCGGGTTTTTTGGTCTCAAAAGGCACCACACGAGCCAGCAGCTGCCGCTGATCAAACCGTGCGGAAAATGAAGCAGGTTAGGCAGCTAACGCTGGCTGTAATTTCAGTTTGTTTAGTTATTTTCGGCCTGGTGCACTTTTTTTGTCACTTTCAACAGCCGGTCTTTTTCCAGAAACGGGACTGGGTGGCTCATTTCCAAATGCTCTCTGCTTTGTCTTTCCTCTCCACCGCTGGCTGCAGCCCTCCCCTCTGTGAGATGGCCTCCTCCCGGGGCTCCCCTGCCATCCCCGGGGTCCCCAGCTGGCCCCGCCGGGTTTACTGGCACCAAGCAGGGCTCTGGAGCGAGGGGCGAGCGGGGCAGGGAGGGATGGGGTGTCCGGTGGGGTGTGTGCAAGTCTCTGGCAGGGTTGCATCAGGAGGCCGTGGTTTTTATTTGGTAATAATTTTGTTATGACCAGACTTGTTTCAAATTTGATATCCCAGAAAGAGGAGCTGCCTTTGATTGCTGCAATTATTTACCTCTTTACATTTCTTCATAAGGAGAAAAACTTTAAGAATCAATAGGTGTGGCTTTGCTTGCACTGATTTAATTTTTTTGAGTTTTCCTGAGTTTAGTAGTACAAAAGGTAATGGAGCCCCACATATCTTCAATGTCCTGTCCAGCATGAAAATATTTGCAATCTGTTAGGTTCCCTGGGCCTCACTTGCTTTTGTAATTATTCCCATCTAACCCTGCCCTTCCAGCTTGTCATACACACAGAGAGGACTACACAAAGTGTGAGACAAAAGAGACTTTTTCTCACAAAGAGTTAAAAATTGCTTGAGACCATAAGGCCTGAGCCAGGGCTTGTAATGATAAGATCCCATCATGGTGGCTTCCCCCCCACTCCCCCTGAGGCTCTGAACTGGGTGCGTTCGGTTAGGGCATGGCTAAGTCACGGGGAGGATTTAGGGCTCAAGGGGGAACGGGGAAGGAGGGTACCTCTGGGTGTTTTTTGAAGCAAATAGAACAAGTGAATAGTTTGTTTTTTGTTTGTTGGTTTTTTTTTGCCAAATGACAGCTGTTAGGGTGCCCATGGGAGATGAGTGAATTGGCTGGAGTACTAGATGCCCCCATGGCAGGAATTGCTATCAGATTTCACTCCTGGTGGCAGCCCAGCAGACAGAAGACCTATCATGTTTCCTCTCCATTTACCTCCAAGGAGAGGCATCTCTCCAACTCAGTCAGGGGGGTTGACAGGAGAGTAGATGGAAATTGGCATTACTATAAATATGTTGCTGATAGAGGAATTTGGTTTTTGTTAGTATCAATCTCATATCAATCTCATATCAGTCTCAAACACAAAACTTACATAAAAAGCAAGAGCATCTGAAATGCAGGCTGTGGCTGAACTGGGATCTCTGCACAGTCCCTTCTTAAACTCCTTCTCCGTAAAATAGGCTGTTCTTTCATGGTCGCTTATCATTTTGAAAAAAGTTTCGAAGCACAGCCACGCGAGGATCTATTTGAAGCAGAAGCTTGGGTCCTGCCCATAAAATATATAGTGTGTGTCTTTATCTGAATTCTAAGTAAATGGGGGCCCCCCGCTGCCTTCCTTACTGATAGAAAACAAACCTCCCACCAAAAGACAAAGGGTATTTTGCCTCAGCAAGAGCTGCGGGATCGGGTCCTTGAAGTTGCTTTCACATAGGTCTGAAAAGCAGCTCTGCCTAAATAACGTAATTCTTATACCGTTAATCGAGCCCATGGTACGTTTCTCTCCCTCAAATGTAGAATTGCCTATTTACATGTATTTCACTTACTGAAGTTTTGTCCTTTATGGAATACATTTCCTGAATTTTTGCAAATTTAATTATTCTTGATAAAATGAAATTGCGTATTCTACTTGTTAAGGGGTGAAATTTATGCCGGCTCATGCATCTCCCTACTGTGTTAAAATGCTTGCACCTAGTTCAATGTGTGCTAATGATAGGCCATTTATAAATGAATTCAAATATACAAAGGATGACTTAGGCTTATGGAAAATATGAAAAAGGTATTTACAGATATCATCAGTTTAAATATTTATGTGTATGCAGTTTTTGTTTGAGTTGATGTTTATTCTACTTACCTGCTGCAATTATGTTAAGTAGATTAATTTTGAGCTAAAATTCCTATTGACTTCAAATTTAGGGAAGGAGTGATTTAGACATTCAGAATTTGTCCCTTTTCAAAGCTTTTCTGTCCCATAAATGCCTGTAAAAATACAATCTGGAGAGGAGAGAGGAGAGAGTTGTTTGAAACTGCAAACCAGTTTTTCAAGAGGACTTCAAGAAATAGGAAGCAGGGCGTTAGATCGACTCTGAGGTGGCATTTTGTAGTTGGTGGGGTCACTACTGAGGTTTTTGTATAATCACTCAACATGTAGGATGAAACGCTGCGAGTCTAGAATCCAGTTGGATAAATTAAGTGGTTACGTGCTCATTAAACTGCTGAATATTTACAGACATTTGCC